GGAAGCTCTTAAAATAGTGCCTGGCACAAAATACATGCTTATAAGAGTCTGTTAAATAAGTTAAATGCCCTACTACATTCCCTACTAGTTAATGCTTGTGTCTTACATATTCATTTTATGTAATACCCTCTCTAAGTCTTTACTTTCATGAAATAACAGATACATAAAACCAAGATAAAAATCTCAAATACAGCTTCTCTCTTCCCGAAGATGTTCCATGTTTTTAGTTAATAATACCTTTGATGTAGGCAATGTGAATTAAGTCTTTTATTTTCTCTATGACAATGAGCTATTTACCGTCCACCTAAAATTTTGAGATCTGGTGATTATTATACAGTATTGGGTTTGCCAACACTCTTGAATACTCCCAGTTGATCTATAGATTTAATGTAATCCAAATCAAAATCCCACCAGACATATTTTTTTGGCATGGCAATAACAAGCCGAATCTAAAATTTATATGGAAAATCAAAAAAGCAAAATAGCTAAAGTCAACTTTGATAGGAGAAAATTTAGATGATTCACACAACCTGATTTTAAGACTTAGTATGGAAATGAGATAGACACGCATGTACATACAAATTTTTGTTTTTGTCTCATGCTTAATTCTACTTAGGCTGCTCTTTCTCGGGCCTTGTTTGTATCATTCATCATACCCTCTCTTTCTTATTTGGTTCTTTAAAAAAAAAAAAAAAACTTATAATTTTAAATTTACCAAAAAATTTGCAAGAATATTTTAGGAAATTTCTGTATCCCTTTAACCAGTTTTACCAATTGGTAATATTTTGCCCCATTTGCTTTAAACATTCTCTCTCTCAACTATATAAAAATAAACTGCAGACATCATGTTTATTTGGCCCTAAATATTTCAATTTTTTTTCTAAGAACAAGGACATTCTCTTAAATAACCATAGTACGATTATCAAGAGCAGAAAATTTACCACTGATAAAATGCTATTATCCAATCCACAATCCATATTCCAAATTTATCAACAATAATACCCTTTTTAGTTGTTACCCCTTGGTTCAATCACGCCATTACATTTAGTTGTCATGTTATTATCCTCCCTCCCTCCCTCTCTGTCTCTCCCTCTCTTTCTTTGGTTTGATTTTCTTTAAACAGAAACACACATAAAATAAGGTTATGTATTGATAGCTTGATGGAAATATTGTGACAAGAGGCTTGTAGAAACCTAACTGAATTTCCCCTAGGAGCAATGACTCAGTATTCGCTAATTCAGTTTGCTGTGACGTTATACAACAAAATTTCTGTGAATAAGGAGAATTGACTGTTAGAAAGAACCACATCCAACTCACACTGGTAGTTGGTTTTGAGGTCAGGGTGTGGGAAAGGAAATCGAGAGTTTTGTCATTAGGGATATTTAAGGCTGAAAACACAAAAATCACAAAATGTTGACTGTTATTGCGTAATGTTAATGTGGGTTTTTGTTAGTACTTGTAACCATTTTAATTTCTTAAAGTAAAAATCTTCAGGATGCCACAGTTGGGAAAGGAGAACATAAAAGTGTGGTCACCATTAAAAATATGTCTCCACACACTATAGCATGCATATACTACGAATTAAGTGTATAATTAGCTGCAGGGCAAGCAGGACTTAATCAAAAGCTGTAACTCAGAAATGTGAATTACTGCTGTGTGGCCTTGGCTGGCCTTCACCCACAACAGTGATGCCCTGTCTCAGAGCCAGAGTTGAAAAGCTTTGTTGAGTTTGAAAGAAATGTTATGTCAGAAGATGCTGTTGCTTGAAATGCTGGTGCATGACAATTTATTTCTGTCCAGCATCAGATGCCAGTTCACAGGCAAATTATAAAGCCATGTTTCTGTGTCAATAAGGAATCACACCACCTGCAGCTTTAAAATTTGCAAACAGATGTAATGAGATACTTAGGTACTCTGACCCAAGATAAAGCAACCAGATATCAGGAAGCTAAATTGTCCCCCTATTTCAGTAATTAATGTAGCTAAGTATAATCTCCAAATACCTGTCTCCCAGGCTAAAGGAAAAGAATACTATTTTCCACATGATTGAGAAGGATGAAGTGACCTGAAATCCCTCAGGGCGGGGGTGTGTGTGTGTGAGGGTGGGCATTTGTGTATTCAATGTATCTTTTTAAGAAAACTAAGTGTAAAAAGACACTTGAAGATGCTATCACTAAGTTAATGGAAGGGGGGGCGGGGTTAGGTACTATATAATCAAGACCATTTACCCAAACTTAGTTCCGATCTAAAGGATGAATTAATTTATATCAAGAGTTTAATAAACAGAAGAGTTGGCTCAAATACTAATATAGTCACTTTTTAAAGTAATGAGAAAGTATTTCAAGAGCAATTTTCCATGCTACATTACAGAAGAGCCTCAATTAACCAAAACGAGAGAGGAAGGGTTGCTGTAATCCATTATCTGAATTTTCTGATTAGTTGGGCTTAAGCATAAATGCCTTGTTCGTGAAATTTCTAAAATGTATCATACAACTTGTTGCCCTGTGCACAGGATAATATTGCTACTAATAATACATCCAATATTTACTGACTATCTGAGGTGTAACTGCTGCTGTCAAACCCATAGCACTATGAAGTCAGGGCTTTTAGGACTAAGTTGTAACAGATGCAGAAGCTGAGTCACAAAGAGATTAAACAGACAGAATGAACGCAATCTCAGATGACTAAGATTCTTTCACCACTTACTTAAAGTCATTCTGAACATTAATATAATTCTCTGAGCTGGTGAAGATATAAGACTAAGTAGGAATCTGTTTTGATCCTGGGTCTGGAATTTTGAATAAATTTCTAACATTAGAATGCTTCATTGTCACTCATCCCCAAGTCTTAGAAGCAGATGGGGAGAGGTTAACTACAAATGCCAGGTAGATAATCTGCTGTCTATTTTAATGGTTTCTTAATATACAGAAGCTGCCCATTTTGCTGTACTTCTGGTGAAAACCAAGAATGTGGCAAATTAGTGAGGGTGTTCTGATCACATGCTAATTATTACCCTGCAGCATCACAAAATGATCTGCCTTATGAAAGCAATACTCTTATTGGTTGGGCTGAGGGTCCCCCCAAATTCCAGAAAGCTTCAATGGCTCCTTATTTAACACTCCTTCCTCTTACAAAGTCAATTCTTTTTTCTTTAGGGATTTTATCTTTTCGTAAACTTTGTAATGGCAGAAATGATCTCCAGTTCAAGATAATACTTTCTTATTATTGACCGTGACGGTCAAAGGGCTTGACTTTTAATTCGGTTTCCTTTAAACAGCTGATACCTGCTGAGACTCAATCATCTTGCTGTCACTGGTGTTCTAACAGCGTTTTCACATCATGGCTGACCCTCGCTTTTAGAGCCATCTCATTGTTTCTTTGGGCAAAAAGTCACACAACCATTCCTTAACAATAAGATCTGTACTCTACCGTGGAAAAGGGGAAAAAAAATCATTGAAAGAGGACAGAAAGACTTCATACTTCTGGTTCATTTTCACTGATGAAAACTGCTGTAGAAAGATTGGTGTATCATTATGAAAGTGTATAAAATATTAGAAACTCCAATAATGAAACATCTCTATTAGTAAGTGGGTTTATTGAAGTAACTGAACATAACAATGTATAACATTTATTCATTTCCCACTGAAAGACTTTCCAGTGAAACTGTTTTTACACAGATCCAGGCATTAAGCATTTTCAGTGATGATCTGCAGTTAAAAGGGTGGGTGGTGGGGAAAATCAGAGGTCTTTTCCAGACTCTTAATAGGACTCAATACACTGCTGTGCAAAAGAAACAGCTAAGAGTTGCAATTGCTGTACGAATGAAAAAAAATGAGGAATAGGAAAGGCACGTGACAGCGCAACGGTTGCAAATAAGAGCAAACAATTACACCTCTCCCCTCGCTGTACCAATAAGCTTGGAATCCAAAATAAGCTCTGGGAGCAAACTAAGAATGACAGTCTATTTCCTGTGGTTTATTAAGTTTTGGCCCCACAGATAAGACTGCCAGAAAAGCAGCTGCACTTTAAGTGGTCTGGACATTTATTCATCTGAACATAAACAAAGATCAGGTCCCTACTCAGCTATTGGGACAAGGGCAGGCCTGGCTCAGTGAGGCCAGACATAAAAGCAGTGGACTGGGGGTGACGGACCCCTGGACTATGATAGATTCCCTGAGTCATCAGGACCCTCAGGGGCTTAAGGCCCTACGCAGAAGATTCACTGTCAGCCTTAGCACCATTGCAGTGGCCTCCACGGCACCCCGCTGCCAATGAATCCATACCCAGCGGTCAATATCACCGCGCACACCCTCTCAGCGACTACATTTTTAGACCACACACGAAACTATTAATGTAAACCAAAGCACTACATTTAGTGATAAACACGTCCTCATAAATATCAGGGAACGAAAGTATCTCAAATAGTTGAAAACAACAGAGCAAATAAAGGAGACTAAGTTTAAAACAAAAACATTTAAAAGAAATACTGCAATTATTAACTAAAAGATACGATTTAATTACATGGTAAAACACTGGGTAGTGAAGGGATTAATTTGCAAAATATAGAATTATTTCACAGTGAGGTTTAAGTACTCATAACAATCTTCTGGTTTTAGTAGAAACAGACAACCACTGATGTACATTTTTTCACATTTTTTTCCCCAATAGTTTCTTCCCTTCTATGATTTCATTAGATTAAGACATTAACATGATCAAATATTACACTATTGATTGACAATCACCTTTTGCCCCCCTATTAGGAAATTACTTTTATCATTTAACTGTGCAGCTCGAAGGAGGGCACAGTCAACTGAGTGTCGCTGATAAAAACGTGAAAAGTACCACATCATATTTATTCCAATCTGGATACATTGTCAGAGATGCGGTAAGCAAACTGTTCTCTACCGGGCCATCACTCACATACACATTACATTCTTTATCAAGTCTGGCACTGAAATCTCCTTTTCCATGTATAGGTTTACAAAAATAAAATTCATAGGGCACAGTCAACTGTGTGTCGCTGATAAAAACGTGAAAAGTACCACATCATATTTATTCCAATCTGGATACATTGTCAGAGATGCGGTAAGCAAACTGTTCTCTACGGGGCCATCACTCACATACACATTACATTCTTTATCAAGTCTGGCACTGAAATCTCCTTTTCCATGTATAGGTTTACAAAAATAAAATTAGGAAGCCACAGGAGCAACCCTGATAGAGAAGTCTTGCATGCAGCCTTCTCCAGAGAAAGTACGTAATTTTAGTTAACCCCAAGGTCAGCAAACGTTCTTGTGATGTTAAGGTTAAAAAGAAAATAGTTGAACCCCTGGGCTCAACTAAAATCGTCCTTGAGTTTATTCGTCAGTTTGTTAAATGTCAGAGCTCTTCACATTGCTGAAAAAAAAAAAAATAGTGTCTAATTATTTAAACATTAAGTTATCCTGAATGTTCATAAAAGAGTTCCTTGGTGAGTGTGTTAAACTTTGCCACCTGTTCACACCAGCCTTCCCGGCAGAGACCACTCGAGCAGTGCAGTCACTTGCCAAGCCTCCTTTGTAATGGTTATAAGTCCTTTTTCCTTAAACAGAACCCAAACTCTACTGTTGGACACCGCACAAATAAAAAGCATGCATCTAAATCCCTTTCTGGCCATACTGGGGGCACAAGCACCCTTTTCTACTCCCAAAGGGGTCAGGCTATTGCACTGCAATGCCACAAAAGCCATTCTCTTAGCTGCGCCAAGGGCTCCACGTAAAGGCCTCCCACCTCTAGACCCCACCATCCATGTGTCCCCTACTATTGGCCTTGACTACCAAGTACCATCCATTTACTTCATGAGTGACTACTGGGAATTGGGGGGGCGGGGAGCCGAATTAGCTGTCTGTTCCCTTTGGCCTCTCTGGCAAGTGCACAAAAGGAGGAAAGGAGATGCTCTGAGGAAATGACATCTCCCCCCGAGGTGGGTCGAGGGGCCCAGCGGAGAGGTGGCTCCTCAAGGCCAATGAGACAGTCTCCACACCCCTGGAGGCCCTGGATCTAGTCGGCAAATCGTTGCAGGAGATGATCCTCACGCCTCAAGCTGCCACCCCCGCCTCCGCCCCCGCTGTCCATGAAGCGGTCGCAGGGGAACTCGATGAGGTCCGCCTCGCTGAGCGCGCACACGGTGGTGCGCGGCCGGTGCGACTGGAATCCAGAGAAGTCCGCAGACACGCCAGTGCCCATGGAGCGCAGGGGCCGTCGGGTGGAGTACATGTGGCGAACGTGGACAGGGGCCCCGCCCTTTCGCCTGGCCCGCAGCTTCCTCCGCAGCCAGCGTGACCCCCAGGCCGCCAAGGCCAGGAGCACTAGCAGCGCGTTGACGGCCAGCAGGGCCAAGGTCAGCAGCTGGTAGTCAACACCGCTCCGACTCCCAGGCTCCGGCAGGGTGACCAGCCCCGCGCAGTGGTCGCGGGGGGCCACCGGGCAGACCCGTCCCCCAAGCACGCCCTCCACGCACACCAGGTAGGGGGTGTCTCCGCGCAGCTCGCGCAGTGTGGCCGAGTCGCTGCGCTCGGGCAGGTAGACGAAGCGGTGGAATTTCGGCTGCTGGCCAAAGCGGTCGAAGAGCAGGCGGAAGCGCGCGCCGCCCAGCGGCCGGGGACTGCGGTGCTCGCGCACCGCCCAGCGCACCGAGGCGCTGTCGGAGCCCACCGCCTCCACCGTCAGGTTGCACAGAACGAATTTGTTGAAGTCACACGGGTCGGACACCAGCGGCGGCAGGCCAACCCCGCCGTCGGACTGGGCGGCGCTCTCTTGCTGCTGGGCGGCCAGGAGCTGCTTCACCGCGCGCTGCCAGGGGTCGCCGACGGGCAGTGGCGCAGAGGCCGGCGCAGCCGTCGAGGTGGGCTCCGCGGGGGCAGGATCGTCCGGAGTAGGACGTTGCCGCTCGGGCTTCTCGAGCAGGTCCAGGGGGGGTGGCGCCTGGCCCGCGGCAGCGGCGGCGGAGGGGCCGGGCTGCTGGAGGCCCGGGCCGCGTCGGCTCAGCCTCACGGCGCTGCGGTTGCCCAGCAGTTCCCTGGCGGCCCCGTCCCAGGCCGCCCCGGGCAGTAATCGGCCCCGCTGCTGGGACTGCGGCTGAGGCGGCATCTCCTCCGTGAGGCCACCTGCAGGGGGCGCCATTTCCTCCCTGGTGGCAGTAGGTAAGGGTCGCCGCTCGCCGTCGGCGGTCGGGGAAACCGAGGGCGGGGGATCTGCGCAAGTCCCGTTCTGCAATTGCTGGTCGTCTAGGTAATCCAGGTACTTCCCCCTCAGGGCCGGGGGGTGGCGACACTGCACGAAGACGGTGAGAAGGCGGCCTTGCGAGTGCCAGTCGCCCATCCAGCGCTTCAGGCCCCGTAGCCGGCAGTCACAAGTCCAGCCGTTGCCGTCTAGATCCAGCCGGTAGAGGGCCGGGCTGGCGGCGAAGATGTCCCCAGACAGGGCGCTGAGAGCGTTGTCGCGTAGGCTGAGCTCGCGCAACCGGCCCAGGTGGCCAAAGGCAGTGGGGTGCAGGGCGGACAGCTCGTTGCCGCTCAGGTCCAGGGCCTCCAGGCTGTGCAGAGGCTCCAGCAGCGCCACCGGCAGCTGGCTCAGGCGATTGCCTTCCAGGCGCAGCTCGCGCAGGGCCTCCAAGCCCCAGAAGGCCTCAGGTGCGAGGTTTGTGAGCTGGTTGCCCCTGAGAGAGAGTAGGCCGAGGCGCGGCAGGTGCTGGAAGACGCGCGGCCCGAGGTGCTGCAAGCTGTTGGCCGAGAGAATGAGGGTGGAGAGGGAGCGCAGCGGCGCGAAGGTGGCCGCGTGTCGTAAGGATGGCTGCAGCTCGTTGGCAGAGAGGTTGAGGAAGCGCAGCTTGCCCAGCTGGGCGAAGACGTTCTTGCCCAGAAACCGGATCCGATTGGACTCCAGATGTAGATAGAGCAAATTGCCCAAGGGGGCGAAGACCGCGTCCGGCAGTGCCCCCAGGGCGTTCCCGTCCAGCCGCAGCTTGACCAGACTCTCTAGGCCCTCGAAGGAGCCGCGGCTCAGGCGGCCGATCTCGTTCCCGTTGGCATAGAGGATGCGCAGCTTGCGCAGCGGGGCCAGCGTGCCTGGGGCCAGCGCCTGGAGGAGGTTGTTCCCTAAATAGAGCTCCTCCAGTCGCGAGAGCTTCTCGAAGGTCTTGGGGTGCAGAGAGCGGATCTGGTTGTACTGCAGGTCCAGCCGTCTGAGCTGCCCCAGGCGGTGGAAGTCGAAGGCCGTGATGTTGGTTATGAAGTTACCGCCGAGGCTGTAGGTGAGCACGTCCAGGGGGCTTGGCAGCGAGCTGGTCTTGGGCACGGCGCGGAGCCCCCTGTTGGTGCACAGGAGGTGCTGGGGATGCTGGCAGTCGCAGCGCTCGGGGCACACGGGCTCCGCCCGCGGCGGGAGCGTGAGGCAGCCGCACACCACGAGCAGGAAGCGCACGGCGCGGGCAGCCTCCATCTCCCCCCGCCCTGCGTGCAGCGGCCGGATCGTCCTCTTGGCCCGCCGGCCTTGTGTCTCTTCTGCATTCCCCTTGGCCTGGCCAGAGTCGCTAAATGGCCTCTTTCGGACTCCGCTCCGCCGTCCAGCCCCTCCTCCGCCCTTTGTCCCGTGGCTGGCCCGGGTCTCTGCAGGCGGGCTTCGCCCAGCCAAGTCAGGAGGCGCAGGGCGCTCTGCGAGCTCCGGGGGCTACTTGTTGCATTTCTGCAGAAAACTGTTTCTCCGGGTGCGCGTTGTGGGGCGGAGGGAGTAGCGAGAACTGAGCTTTTTGTTTGCAGCTCGAGTCCGGAGAGCTGGATTCCCTGGCACGGATTCTCCCCGCCGAGTGGATTCCCCAGCTGCAGGCGGGAGACCTTCCAAGAGCTGCTCGGGGCGCGGCTTGGCTGCTGCGCCCCGGCGGCTCGGCCCCCGCAGCCTGCGCCTCCTCGCCCTGGGTCCGGGACTGGGAGCTCGGCCTCGGTGGAACAGCCGGGGGAGGAGCCGGGGTGCACAGGCTGCGTCCGGAAGGGACCCAAGTCGGCGAGTGGCGAGCAAACCGGGCGGAAATTCGTTCTTCCCACACTCTGCCCCCCAGGGATGCAGGCGGGGAAAGAGGAGACGACGGAGGGAGGACAGACCCCGACAGGGGGAGGAGGAAACGCTAAGTGGCTCCGCGTCTGGTCAGCCCGAGCCCGGGACGCCAAGTGAGAAAAGTAGGGATTAAAAACAGCTGTACGGGGCGGACACGCTGGGCTGGGGGCGGGGGTGGATTACCGGTGGAGCAAACCGGCTTTGCAGACAGAGACCTTTTTATTTTAGACGAGTACACCAGTCGCTTCGGAGCAGTGGGAGCCCGGCTTGTCTTACTCGGTTTTAAGTCCCTTGCTCTTCCAGGTGCCACCCTGCGGGAGGTTTGGGCAGCACAGACTCCGCCAGCATTCTGTAAGAGTTTTGGGGAGCACAGGTTGTCTGCAGAGAGCTGTCGGAGGGCTACTGTCAGCAGAGGCCGGGTCAGCCCATTCTAACTGTTGCTCGTTTGGGTTTTTGACATCAATGTACTGGCGGCCGAGGAGAGGCTCCGCCCCCTGAAGGGATCTGAACCGAGTATTTGCTTGGCCCCGCTCTAGGCAAGAGCATGAAGGGAGCTCAGAACTGGTTCTACCATGGTAAAAGTGTCTCTGGCAAATTTTGATGATTCGGTCCCATTAATTCTCCTTAAGTCTCACAGCTCAGGGGGAGGCTCTGCGCGTGCACATATATGTAATAACCTTCTCGCACCCTCTGGTAACTGCTACGTGTGGGAAGGAGGCGGTCGGGTTCCACTCGATGTCTGGGCTTGCAGTGATCTTCAGCGTCTGTAGGGCCAAAAGTTCTCAGGCCTGGCCCAGTTGGGGAAGTCTTAGCATTTATTATCAATAGAGAATGGAGCATTTATCAGCGGCTCTTTTGAGGGCAGCCCCTGCTGAGAAGAGAATGAGCAAGGAAGAGCTGTTAATTACTGTTTGTTCAAGCAGACTATCTTGCTAAAAGCAAAGGCCCCTTCTCTCTCCACCTCACCCCAACCCCCAATGCCAGAGTGTTCAGAAATGTAATTTTAAGAACCTAATCTGGAAAATTAAAAGAGACACATCTTCCCCTCAAGAAGCTGACAATCTAGTGGGAAGGGCAAGGCATGGAGAGATTAAATAATAATGGAAGGCTGCAGATGAGTTTTAATAATTCCAGTGTTTGACACTGATTAATTGCCTCATTTAGCAATGTATATAGGTGAGTGATAGAAACAGGTTCTGAATTTAAGGAAAGATAAGATCACCGGCAGTGGTCAGTGAAGAATTATGAGTGAGCAGACCTTGGCTCCAGGCAGATGGGTTTTGGAGAACTAAAGGCAGGTAGTTAGTGTAATGTTCATTCAGGTCACGGTGAGTGAGCAGACTAAGTTTGCTGGTGATTTGCTCTGAGTTTTCAGATGAAGGATGAACTTGGGGAACCGGGTATCTGTCTTAACAAGATGAAAGATGAAGCTACCCAGGTAAGTTTGGGTTTTAGTTCTCACTGAGAATTCTGAACCCTCTGAGGTCTTGACTCCCATCCTCTTTATGAAATATGGCTGCCCTGGAGGGTGAGACCCAGCCTCAAGTTCTCCTAACCTGGCCCAAGAAGCTGTTAGGAGGCCCTTCAGTCCTTGCCGGCAACACAGGTGACTCTACTTTTTCAGAGGAAAGATATCCAGAAGCTGCTGGCTTTCAGATCGAATCTCTGGATCTACCTGAGATGGAGCCGTGACAGCATCCGCTTTGAGCCCACGGCCTCGGAACACAGAGACGGCCTTCTGAGCAGGTTGGAAACTGAGAGAGGTGTGATGTGGAAGAGGGGGAAGCGGAAGTCAAACCCTGCCCCTTCGCACAAGCCTCCCCTCCGCCTGACTCTTCGCAGAAAACTCGCAGAGAAAGTGAGGGCAGCAGGCGGCATTCCCTCAGAGGGCCGCTGTCGCTGGGGCCAGGTGCCTCTAAGGCTTAGAAAGTTACCAGACCCCTGCAGATGTTCAGTATTTTTTAATGTTTTGCCTGTCTTTGCTATTATTGCCCAGTGTTTAATATTCTGCCAATAGTCCTAGATCACAGGTAGAAATAACATCATCCATGGTTTCGTGTCAAAAGACAATTGCTTTTCCATAAATTCCATTTCCTTGAAGTAATCCATCTGCTGCATGTAGTTAACCTTGCTTAAAATAGGTACAGCGTGCCCTATTTCAAACAAGTATAGACGGTTTCTGATAGGTGTCACCAGCACCCTCCACCCAATTTCAGTAAGGGTAAGATTTTGAGACCTACAAATATGATGATAAGACACGTGTGTGTGCACATAAATTCTTTCTGAAAAAGGGTGACTCCATCTCTTCAATCAAATACTTCCCTTTTAAAGGCATACAACCTGAGGTCAGCTTTACAAGTGAATGACGTTTAAATACTTCAGAGTATACTTTTGTGATTCTCATATGTGCCCCAACGGCCTACACGTTCAGGTATTTGATTTGTTTTCAGACCATCTTTCTCTTCCAGGAGCTAAAGTGGCATTTTGCTTGAACGCGGGAGTACTTAGAGCTCCTGGTAGTGAGAGCTATAAAAGCGCCTCCCAGACTGCGTTGGCTTGGAGTCCTTATTGCTGCCAGTGATCAGGCAAAAGGCCTCTAGTGAGACTTTCAGCATGTGCCAAGTCCCGAGACGAGCGATGGGAATGCTGGGGCTGGTAAGATATAGACCTCAGGGCGGGGAGACTGATGGGCAGGATGCAATTGCAACACCAGGTGGTAAGAGCCGTAGGCCCTGAGGAGGGGAGCTTGGCCTGGCCTGGCTTTCCAGGGGCAGAAAGTGCTGAGTACTAACCTAGATGCAGGTTAGCAGGGCACTCAGGAGGCAAAGCCTGGGGACATGTTGAAGAGAGTGATTTGGGAACCCCCAAAGCTTCCGTTTGGATCTTTGTTAGTGAGGTTTTCTTTTGACAGCTGTGTTTTTTATAGGAGCACACATCCCTTGCTCATACAAAGACTTCCAAATAGATATTCCTTATTCCCCTCTAAAGATTTCAGCAGGCAGTTGACCTAATCGTACGTGCACTTCAACATCAAGAGATAGCTCTGCCTATATAAACTCGGTGCTATACAAAAACAAAAAAAAAGTTATCTCTCTAGTTTTTGCCTTCTAGAACCTTGGAATCTGTGGTGGTGGTTTATGTGGGACATGTGTTGATAGAATGTCCAGACCAAGGCATCCCCCTATGTAAAATATGCTGTATATATTTTGTGTAGATACTATATATACAGCACCGCTCTTAGAATAGGGCAGCCTGGGTCCCTATCCTGAACCCTGAACCTTAGAGGGCTGTGTTCTATCCCTCCTCTGGTTGGGTCCTTCCCCATAAGGTCAGGGTTTAGGGCTTCCAAAAGAATGTACCCATCCACAGCTCACACCCCGACTCCTGCTCGGGGTTCATGGGACCCTGGCAGTCCTCACTTGACTGCCTAAGTCTGTGCAGGCCTTTCCCCCATCTGTCCTCCTGGGACCAGTCATGCCACAAGTGTATTTACCCCAGGGCCAAGAAAAGGCCAAAGGGCAGCTGTGCAAAAAGAACCTGGAAGCGTGAGCTGGGATTTCTGCTGGTATGCCCGGAAGGCCTCTGGGAGGCTCCTGGTAATGCTGGGGGTAGCGGGGAGTCTCAGGCCAGGGGTCTCCTCTCACACTCTAACCCCCCGCTTCTCAAATGCTGGAGACAAGCCTGTCCATATGTAGCATTTTGGGAGAAAAGAGTACATGTACTTGGATTTAGAAAGAACTAGGAGAAAAATTACAGGAGTTTGAAGGAAAGCATTTTTTAAAAAATGTTAATTCTACTTTATTATAACATAGCCGATACCTAATTTTCTATAAAAAGCAATAATTTTTAGTAAAAGCAAGGACAGAGTTGTCTCCATTTAAATGCCTATCTCCTAACTACGACATAATGTCTGTTTATGGATGGATCCAGGCTTGATCAGGATCTAGGAGGTTTAAGTATCGATTACGCTTAAATGAATACTTTGCATAATTGCAAGTGGTCATCCAGGAAGGAATGCTGTTCCTAAGAGAAACAAGAGCTTTGTCATCTCACTTTGGGAAAGCTCGCCCTTTAAATCTCAGGTACACTGGGGATAGTTTCGGTGGTCAGAAACACAAGCAAGTTTGGGCTGGTTCCATGACACATCGATGTGGTGTAAGGGTTCTCAAGCATTCTTGCCCAGGCATGGAATCTTTTGGGGCTTGCCAGGGACGTACGCTGCTTTCCTCCAGAGCAACCTGTGGTTGCACTGAACTGCAGAGGCAGAGACAGGAAGGATTTCAGGCCAGGTCTTCGGTGCCCTGGAGCTGGCCTGAGTTGGCCCAGGCTGCCCTGGTGTGGGCAGGTTAGGGAGAGGAGAGCTCAGGCCACATGTCCCCCGCTGCAGGGCGAGGTGGGCTTGCCAAGCCCAGCTGAAGCAGCTTCCAGAGCTTGCCCTGGGCAGCCTGCAGAGACGGCAGCTGACAGGCAGGGTGGCCTCTGACAGATGCAGTAAGAAATCGAGATTCTCTAAGGGTCCCTTGGCATTTTGTCAAATGGCCCCCCAAACTCTATCTGAAAGGGCCTCATCTTTGCCCCAGTCTGAGAGGCAAGTGTTTTTTGCCTCGGGGATTAGGAATGTGAAAAAGAGAAGGCGTGCTTTACAGTATATCTGCTGATTCTCCTCTTTTATCCTTAAGGAAATACAGGAATGCAGATCCCTGGCTAGGTACCAGCTTTATTAAATCAGAATCTCTGAGAGCGAAGCCCTGGCACCTGCATATTTTTTTTTTTATGATTTTTATGCACATTTAATATTGAAAAACCTAATAGACAATACTTCCAAAACCCCTCTCCACTATTGGCTGATCATATTAGAATAACAGCAGTATTCATGACGAGCGCATAGGTAGAGCTGAGTGCCCCGCA